GAATACTTTACTAAATATAAACATATATATTTATTTGGCACAAAAATTATTAATATAATTTAACTATCATTTTTTATTGAATAAATATTTCTTTATTATAAGTAAATTTTTATTTTAGTACTATTCAAGAAATAGGTATTAAGATTTAGTAAATTTTTTTTCAATGCAGAAATTCAATTATAACAGAATTCTAATTCGTATAAGATCAGAATTAATTTTGTTTGTACTTCTTGGTAATATAATCAGAATATCTTTATTCAGAGTGTTTCATTTCCATCACGCGATATCTTAGCCCTTTATTAATTAATCGGAATGTCAATCAGTAGAGGCTGCGAATAAGATAACGGTGTCTAAGAAATTAACATATAAATCAAGATTCATATATCGAATAATCTTTTTCTCATAAAAAGAACATTGTTTTGCACTAGTTATCTCTATTGTTCAAAGAACCTGTTTATTTAACTTCTTGTTTGTGTCTAACTGTACGCAAGGTAACGATCGCGTGCAGTATGCATGTATATACATGTGTATGACTTACAAAAATCTGGGCCGAGATGGGGCCGAGAGTTTCGAAATTGGGTCATTAAGGTGTATATACGATTCCGGATTCGAGGCGATGTATCAGCAGACCGGAAAGCAATTTGCTGACAATTTTCGTCGGATTTCGTACTCGATGCGCGCGACGAGTGAATTGCCGCTAGTAAACGCGCGTTTATGACCCTCGAGCAAGCGAGAAGCAAGACAAGCACGAGGTAGGTGATAAACTGATAACGCATGCATAACGATATTAACGACACGCGTGTCCCTCATTGCGCGGCCGGGGCAACCAGTCAAGCCAATGAAGGGCTCGGATTTATTCCGGTGTCGAGTGTTATTCGACAAATGCATCGTTGTCACCGCTCATTTCGTTGTTAGGAGGAACAAACCTGTTCGCCTATTTCACGTTCTTTTGGACATTTTTACGCTCGTCAAAATGAAATAACTGCAGAGGAAAAAAATGTTCTGATTAAACCAATAAAAAGATCCATCCAGAATAGTATTTTTATGAAGCCAAATAGAATTTCTGGTTGTGACAACTGGTTTTGATAATCAGAAACTTTGTTTGGCTAAAATGCCATTCTGGTTGAGTCTTTTTCTTGATTTAATCAGAACATTTTTCTCAGTGCACGTATTTTGGGATGCTCGAGAAAGGGAAAAGAAACAAAGTATAGAATGCAACTTAATATATAATTGTCAAATGGTACTGATTATATCGATATAATAACTATTATACTGTAAAAAGAAGTGTTTAATTACAAAATATTAAAATGTTTTATTGTTGTCTCCGTTTTTAAAGACGTTTTAACCTAATATTTAAAGATACGTTTTAATTTTGAACTGTTTTCAATAAACAAAAACACAATGTGTTTAGATTTAAAACACGTAGTATTTTGTTTGTATTGAAAAAGTTTAAAACATTTTTAATTGAAAAAACGGAGACAACAATAGAACATTTTAATATTTTAAAATTAAATACTTCTTAAAATTAAATACTTCTTTTTTTAGCGTAATTCCTACATAATTATTGATTCTACGTGTATTGAATACAACAACTTTTAAGAGCAGGGAAATATAACAGAAAATACTAATGATATGAATGATTTATTTTGAGGATACTTAACGTTTCAATATTTTCGACTAATGAACGTATATATAGAAGAAAAAAGAAGAGTAACGTCGCCACGACATATCAACGCAAGCGTAAAAAGCGGTGCAACACGGTAAAGCAATTTAATTGTCGATGACTCATGTCGTTATCAATGCCATATTCAAGTGTCATTAAATTTACCAAAGCGAGCGTCGGTTTTTGTGCTTTATTTGCTAAAATACACCGACAGCATACGGAATATATCAACAATCAGGGGATTGATTGTGTATCTTGAAACAAGGTAAAAATTACAAAAATGAATTGATTAGGTATTCACCAATGGAGTTAAATATTCCAGTAAATTTACTGTTGTAATTTTTACCTCGTTTCAAAATACACAATCGATCGTTTCTATTTCTTGCAACGGATTTCTTGATAAATGTAATTTTTTTCCTAGCAACAATTCAATCGAACACTATTTTTTTCCTGCATTACTTCTGACGAATTGAATCTGATATTAAAATTAAAATCAAGTTGTACATATTGCGCTAAATTTCGCTTTTCCGTATCTCAGCGTGACTTGTTTATTCGAGGAAAGATAACGCGATATACTTTACAAGTGTCGCTTCTAACGCAAGGAACGTCCGGTAAACCTTAAATATTTTTCGAGCAAGCTGCGGTCTCGCGTCGTGGCAGGCATTTCAAGAAGTCAGCCGGTGGTAGAACCGCACGAATATTCACCCACAAGAGTGAGTATTCAAAGATGAATCACGCAAGAGCGATTTCTGGAAATTCTTTCGTTGGCCCTGAAGCCTTGCTTGAAGAAGATTATCTCTCTTCTACATTTATTCTCCGTGTTCATTCCGGATAAATATTTCGCGGAGAAAAATTTATGTTCTCTTTTGATGTTCCATATGATCTCTTTAAATATACAATCTCTGATATTAGCAGCTGATGAAAGCTAATTATTAACTTGTTGCGAGTGATATAATAACGAGACGACATCGAACGAGCTGTTAATGCGGCTATTACTAACAAAGTCATCATTACGAATGGGTAATAACGCGTTAGCGAAATCGTAGCTCGTATAAACCGCGCAATGAGCCGAGGCGCTGTAGGATTTTCCGCATGAACGCTTTTGCAGTAACAACCGCGGTCATTATGTTGGAAAACGCAATGTTTCCATGAGCATCGCTCGCGCGCAATGAAACGCTACCAAGATGTTGCTCCAAGCGCATCAAAGCTGCAAAGCCGTTTCGCTGTGTCAGCCCGCCTGATATTTCGTCAGCTCGGCAAAAGATTTCTCTGTTGAGAAACTCGAGTCTAAGAAACGCGTCAGTTGAGGAGGTATCCTTCAATACCGAAAGAACGTGGAACAGGTTTTCTTTTCAATTTCAATTTTCAATTTAAACAGATATCGTAAAACTAATTCCATAAAGTACGACCATCTCGCTGTCTTAATTTTGATTAAAAAAATTATATTTAAAAAATCGAAACTCGAGATGAAAAAAAAGCAACATATTTTTAGTTGAAAATCGAACGTTTTTTGATTCAAAGAGAATAAAAATAATTCATACTGTTTGCGGTTAATAATTATAGAGCATAAGTTTCTCAAAGTTTTTCAAACCATCATATATTTTTAGTTGAAAATCGAACGTTTAGTTTTATAATTCAAAGGGGATAAAAATAATTCGTACTATTTGTGATAAATAATTATTAGAAGAATACGATGAAGCTTTGTGGGAGGAACATCAATATTTACAGGCTTCTCTAGTCTACATACAGTAATGTCAGTATGGTGGAACCGTGTATTATGCCATTTCGTGATAATCGGGAGAGCGTTAGCCTCTCCCAATGTTAGAATCATTGTTTTCAACACTCGGCAGACGTCATTAATCATACAAACGCCGCGAGCTCTCTCTCGAGGGGCTGATAACTTCTAATTTCACCACTGTTACACACGAAAGTGAAGATTGCAATATCTTGGTAAACAATAATTCAATTCGCGACTAAAAACGGTGAATGCTGACCACGTGACGGGGATCTAATGTGTCATTTCGCTCATTTTTCAACTTGAAAGAATATGAAAAAAGTTCGTGTGTCCTACATCGCTCCTGGCATTGTTCCGAAATCTTTTCTCGACATAGCGTTTCATCTTATTTTCGATTTTAATGAATTTGTATGAATTGAAACCATTATATACACTTTATGTATAAATTCGCAATAAATAAATAATATTAAAAGTTTAAAACATCTTTTTAATTCATTTTATATATACTTCGTATAAATTCGTGATAAGTATTTCAAAACTTTCTTGATTCATAAAATATACTTTAATACATAAATTCGTCATAGATAAATAATCTATACTTTTCATTAAACGGACGAATAAAAATAATTTTTCGCTAGAAAATCGTTCATTTAATTTCACGGTGCTTTTCTCAGATCAGCGTTGATTTTATTACGATGCTGTTTTTACGAGACAAGAATTAACTTAATGTAGGTATAAAAATACGAAAGAGACTATGTGATAAAAATATTTTAAGAAAAAATGTTCAACGTAAGCGAATCATACTGCTATATTACGGAATCAACTGAATCGTTCGTTCGAGAATGAGCTTCATTTTAAATTCTAAATTTATCAGGAATTTTCGCATAAATAAATACGAAACGTCCCGCAATTCTCATGACCTTAATTGTAATGGCAGAATGCCTTAATTTGGAGTCGATTTTTTTCTCTTCGCGAAAATGTCGAGGAAGGTCATCGTTTACTTTCCACTTTTCGACATTACATATCTTTGTAATTTAAGTCCGATTGCACCAACATTACTTAATTTTAAGCGAGACTTAAAACTCTCCTCTCTCTTTCTCTCGGCTTTAAAGAGAAAGAGTTTTAAGTCTCGCTTAAAGTCAAAGACTAAAGTCAAAGTAACATTGGTGTAATCGGGTCTTAAAGTATTAAAATTGATCAATTAAAATTATGTTGGAGTTTATTTTAAAAATTAACTATAAGAGACGAGATTCTATTATTTATTCATTCTGCTGAAACACAGTTTGCGGAAAGTCCTCTTGCAATTGCTCTCGACAACTGTCGGTATCTCGACGTCTTCGCTGAGGAAAAATCGATCATAATTTTATCAGGAAACCTGCCATTAAGATTAACGTCTCGATGGAACATTCCGCGTACAGAAAACGCTGTTTCAAACGTCAGGGCGGATATTCGAGCGAGACGATAATAGAATATTACGTTTGCATCGTAAATATTTCCTTTTGCTTCTCGGAAAGAGTAGGCTTCGTTCATTTCTTTTTTTATGAAAAAAAAAAATAAATAAATAAATAAGTAACTGATTCAATAACGCGAGGAAGGACTCACCGAGACGAAGCTCCCCGAAGTTTCCACAGCCAATTTTCTTGCCGACCCGGAAGTTCGGGCCGACCATGAGCACGCCGGACGACGAGGTGACGCTGTGCCGAGACGAGTGCACGTTCGACCGGGCGGCATTACCGCTGCCCCTGGAGGTCCGTTTGGCGACCTCCTGGTCGCGTTCGGAGCCGCGCGCTCCGAGCTCCTTGTCGCCGCGGTTATCCCTGCCGTCCCGCTTCTGCATCTCGTACCGGCCGTTGTTATCCACGGTTGCGGTGATTTAATTATCGATACACGATCCAACTGCGCGCACACGATTTTTCACCACACACGCGTCGACAATGACGACGATGACGGCGGGGATGTCAGTTTTGGGTCAATGACGGGGATCGATCCCCGTGCAGGGCATATCCTGTATGCCCTCTGGGAAGCGCGAGGACGACGACGGGATGGGACGCGACGCGACGCGACGCGGCGCGACGCGATACGACGAGGCGCGATACGATAGAAGAGAAACGACGGATACAACGCGACACTCACCGCAGTTTCCGCAAGCGGAAAAGGGCACGCGCGGGCGCGGTGTACACCGTTGTAGGGCGCGGAAGGGTAAGACGCGCGGGTGGCGGCGACAGGAGAGTGGGAAAGGGGGAGAGAGGGGGGGGGAGAGAGAGAGAGAGAGAGGGTGGCTGGCTGGCTGATTGTCAGAGTTCGACGGACGATGCCACCTCACGGGGATCAATCCCCATGCCAGCCTAACCTCTCAAGCGCGAACGATCTTATCCTTTTCGCCCACCGGGCGTTGTTTAGGTACGATCGGTACGATCGACGACACGTAGGACGCGAACGTGGAAGGGCGCGGTGCGTCGAGGAAGCGTATCTGAGATGCTGTCGCTCCTACTCCTTGTTCGCGCCTGGCGCGGCCCGATGGTCGGCAAACGTCACGGCAACAGGAGGAATCGAACGGTCGTTGCGGCGTCGTACGGCGTCGTCGTTCCGGACGATCCCATAGCAATTTCGACCCGTCTCTCACGCCCGGCGGCGGCCGCCGGGATGCCGGGATTGCCGGGTGTCGTAACAGTCGACGACAGGAATCGCGCGGCTCACGCTCTGCCGACGCGACGCAGCACGGCATTACCGTGGCGGCGGCGACGGTTGTGACGGTCGTTGTTGCGGACGGTTGTGCCGTTGCCGCTCCTGCTGCTGCTGCTCCTGCTGTTGCTGCCGGTAGTGCTGCTGTTACTGCTGTGGCCGCGTTTCGCGGTCGTCGGCTCCTCCATTACGCGCCGCGCGAAGCGCCGCGGGGATTTACCTCCGGGCGAGCGAGTTCGAGACTCTCGCTGCGCTGCTCCCCCGCGGAGTTCACGCTACTCCGATTCCTTGTCGACTCGGCGGCAACTTCACTCGACTCCGCGCGCGACTCACGACTCCGTTGGACTCCGTCCGTCCGTAGCGCGACAGGCGACTCTCTCCGTCCGCCGATCGCGGACCGGACAGGCAACGGCGAGGCGCCGAGATTCCCTAGGGGCCGCACAGGCGCGTTTCCCCCGTTTTCACACACCTATACTCTCCTCCCGTCCTGAAATTCGCGCGCACGTTTCACGACGATGCACCCACGCACCGTGTCAACAGCGTGCGCTCCCGATCGGTTCTGACGCACGCCCGCACACCCACACACCCTCACTCTGTTTCTCCCTCTCCTCGCTCTCTCTCTCTCTTTCTTTATCACTGCCGCCACGACACCGGACTGACCGGACTCGGACTACCCTACGAGCGCTCCGCGGATCGCTCCTTCTTCCCTCGACGTCGCGATACTCCCGTGCTGCTCCGCACTGCTCCGCACTGTTCCGTCGGATGTGCAAGCGCTCGCGCTCGCGCGTTTTTCTTTGACACGGAGCCGTCCGCGCCGCGCGATCTCGCAACGCACGCACGAACGCACGCACGCACGCACGCACGAACGGTACTCCGTGGACTCGTCCTTATCCCCGATCAAACGTCTCGCGAACGACAGGCTGCCTCTCGCGCTCAGAGACTTGAGGAAAATGAGTCGCTACGGACACCGGCAGGCCGACCAACCGCTACCATCACGCTGAACTTGTTCACTATGCAAATTCGTGCCAATTCGTGCCTTTGCGGCCGCGTTCGCTTTGCTCGTACTGCTTTAAGCATCCTTTCATCCTTGTCGTTTGGCAAATATTAAACAAGAACAAAATGATGTTTACCAGCGCTACGAGAGCCAAATGAACGCTGTCCGTAAATAATAATAAAAAATATAATTCAGTTAAACGTAAAAATATCTATATTTGTCACAAACTAAGCGCAGAGATGTTTGATGTCCATTTCTATCAATATAGATATTAACTTTAATCTCGATTTAATTTACTGTTTATCCTCTTCTAATTCTCAGAACTGGGAAAAGATAAAAAGTAAGTTAAACTGAGATTAAAGTTAATGTATATTGGTAGAAACGGATTTAATTCGTTCGATTATCATCCGCGGCGACCAATCGCAGCTGTCTGAACTTGCGGCTTTCATGCTGGCTCGTCCCATTTGTTACTAGAAGTTCTAGTTACAGATGTGAGAGGTGTGAAATGATTTTTTTTTCTTTGTCTCTTATGAATTGTATATTTTCTTTCTTGAACTGTCTGAATTAACGTGACGGATAGAAGGAGAAAAATCGCGTTCCGAGAAATATGGAAACGGAAAAAGACGGAGTTTACGGATAATATAAAGTTGATTATCAGCTTAGATTGGCAGACGTGCGTGAGCAGCGCGAGAGCGCGAGCGCGTGATATAAAAATGCACTTATTTCTAAACGGTAACGTCGGCTGGAAAGAGTCCAGTTTTCGCTATTTCCGTCGCCGGCGGTCCGTAATTGACGCGACTGCGCGTGCAAAAGAGACGGAGAGAAGCGTAAAACTACCGGAGATCAATATGACCGATATTGTAGGACGCACGTGAACGTCTCGTCTGGTTTCGCGCGAATGACGTAACGGCAAGTGGCATTATAACACAAAAATGGCCGGCGTCGTGTGGGCCGAGGATGAGATCGGGCGAAAGTGGGACCGCTGCTTCACAGACGCCATCCTCAAATTCGGTAATTATCGTGATTGAGCTCGTCCGCGGTGACGGATATTACCTTTTATGACGTTACTGACAGATCTTTTTTCTCAGGTGGTGGCGTGATCCTCGGTGGAGTGTTTTCTCTGTTTTTCTTCAAAAGTAAGATACATCACTCCTATGACATAACTGTATTTGTTATTGTAATTGTCAGAGTCAATGGCAAAAGATACATTCAGGAACTCGCATCTAGATTTGATCCTGTTAACATTAATAATTGCATGCATTTTAAACTTAGTCTATAATGTGCTCTTCCTGTTTCTCGCTTTTTTCTCTTATCTTTTTGTCTTGTATCCTATTTCTTCGTTTTTTTATCGTTCGAAAGAAAAGTTGACCAACTTTGGAAAAGACAAGAAACATGATTGTTAATAAACGGTTACGAAGAGAGAAAAAGGCAAGAGGTAAAAAGTAAGAAACAGGATGTAAAGTATGTTGTAGATTAGTCTTTAATCACATGTGTGCTTCATTGTAGAAACATTAATCATCTATGACGTCATGTGACTTGAAAGTTATATAGCCGTATATCTCTATATTTAAGTCTCAACAATTAATCAATGTTCACTATTTGTGTAACCTTTTTTTCATAAGTGAAGAGTATCTGGTTAAAAAGAATTAATTGAGCTCTATGATTCTGAATGGAACTACAGTTTCTTTTACTTGTATTATAGTTTTTACAGAATATTTTTATTTTCCATCAAGAGAATGGTTTTACAGATGGGATTAGTGCTACTTTAATATATGTCATAATGAGTGATAAATAACGGTGATATCTATACTTGATCATAAGTTAATGGCTGTGTTCATAAAAAGCAGCTTTACAATTCTGTTATAAAATATTTTAGTATAATTAGTCTTACTCCTAATCCCTCATTGGATTTAAATATATAACCAATCATATTAAAGGATCTTACAATGCTGCAAGTTGCTTTTTCTTCTGAATGCAATTAATATTTGAGTTTAAAAATAATTTATGAAAGAAATTTGAAGGAATTATATACTGCCTGTTGTCAAATTCCTTTTTCAATTATTATAAAACATATATGGATACACTGAATTCTCTTTATAGGAAGAAAGTGGCCCATTATAACTGGAGGTAGCTTTGGATTAGGTATGGCATATTCAAATTGTGAGGAAGACATCAATGCATCAATACGTAAACAGAAATCGAGGATTTGTAAATCTGAAGAAAAGAAATAATTAGAACAAATTGTAAAAACAAAATTAAAGTTATTACTAAGATAAGAATTATAATAAACTAAATAACTTTATCGCAATAATCTATTGTTTTTGTATATTTGATCTGTACCTTTTAATCTTAGAAAAATAACACAATAAATGACTTTGTAAAAGAAATATATTTCTGGACTGTTTATTAACATTACAGTAATATAATTATAGAAAAATACAAGTATGAAGTATCAACAAATATTAATATACATAAATATCTAATAGCGTATTAAGAAATGTAAGATTTTTTTAGCTTTTTTCATCATTGTTTATAATTATTTAAACGCATATTTATACTCATAAATTCTTTCATTATATAATATACATATATAATAGTAATGCTGGAAGTCATAGTGCATTCAAAAGTGATGTGCGAACCATAATGATTAGTAATGTTCCGTAATAGATACACTCTATTATAATTGACTTACATAAACAGATTCTGTTTAATTATTTGTTTAATTAACACACTTACCACACTCTCTTCAGAATTTCCAAAATTTGCTTAACAAAAATTCTACGTTAAAGTTTTGTATGACGTTAAAAAGATTTACAAATGATAATCAACCAATACGTGAAGAAAAATCTACCGATTAATTTAAATTTGATAAAGGTTAAAAATTTTTTACACACGAACACCCTGTGTTGGCTCACATGGACATTACTTACATTATTTGAATATGTGAAAATATTCAAATAAACAAATATGTGTTTCAATCTACAACTATATTTTTAATAAACTGTTAATTTGATCACATTTAATACTGCAAAAAAAAACGTATAAATAAATATCAATTTTGGAGATTCTGAGTTTTTATATAGTACATGAAAATTCTTGTGTCTTTATTTGGCATCTTAGTGTATATGCTCAAGTATGGAATACGCTACCGAACGAGCAAAAAAGAAATAAATGTTTGTAGATTGGCATTGTATAATTTATATCTTAAGATTAAACACCATGCCCAAAAATTGTTCGTAGTGAATCGTTATCACGCCATCCAGATCCGTATCCAATCGTCTAAAAGCGGTGGTAAGAGTCTAAAAATATGTAATTATTACACTTTTTTAATTACAGTTTGAATATTCACAATTATCAGATAAGTCATTGTTTTTAATTACGGTTAAATATGTAGGCTCAAAAATATTAGCTTAATTAACGTTATTTTTAATTTTTTTAATTGACAATATATATAAGAATAATTCATTTAAATGTAATTTAATTCATAGATATACAAACCAATTGAGTTTAAATTAAAGCTTCTACATATAAAAGTCAACAGGTATTTTTAAGCAAGGTCATGAGCCATACCCAATGAAATTATTTAGATTGCTTTACAGCTATACTTACATACAGAACAATACAGCACTGTATAAAGTCATCAAAGTATATTGTACCGTGACCCGCGCGATCGTACTTTCGTATCAGCAAGTCAATTATTTGCTCGCTTAATCGGTACCCAAAGTTTGTGAGAGCTGTCTTCAATTCATTGCGATCGATATTACCGCTATTGTCGCGATCAAACGAGCGGAAGCAATTCTCCCAATCGGTCACGTACTTCCACAGTGCTCCAAATTCTTCGAAACTGACAGTACCTGTCTGCTTCTTATCAAACATACCTGTAGCAGGATCGGTTTTATCAAACATACCTGTGCCAACAAAAGCAAGGAACAAAATAATAATAACATCAAAAGACCATGCAAATCAATATATTGTACATAGATAATTTTATAATAATATATTGCGAGAACTAAAAAGTGTGCAACATGCTGTGATTTAAAAAAAATTAACAGCATATTCGTAGAAAGAACAATTTTGCTCAAGTATCTAAAAATTTAGCTAGATGTGGATATAGATATAAGCATACATCTGAAAATAATTTTGTTGAATTATCAAAATAAGTATGTAGGAATCTCAAGCATGACGAGTAACGCTACAAAAAGTTTTGGCATTCCAGTAAAATTTTAGTAAATGCGTAATTATTTTGACGACAAAATTATTTTCAGAACTGTATCTAGCTAAATTTTTTAATACTTTAGTAAAATTGTTTTTTCCATGAATTGGAAGTTTTTCTAGCATCAAGCGACAGATACACAGCCTTTTCCATTTAGAGTATCTACAGAAAAGAGAAGATTTTAAGTATAGAAGAAACTATAGATATAAGATATGTGTATTATAAATTCACATGGTCATTTTGAAAATATAAACATGTCATACCAATCATTAGACGTACAGTTTCAGGATTGAACGGCGTCCATGTACCGTTTGACAAAGCTTGTTGTAGCTCATCAGCACTGATTGCACCAGACCTGTCTTTATCCACCCTGAAGAAAATCTTTAATTATCAAGTAAATGTGTTATCCAATAACATTATCAAATTTATTCTCTTTGATCTTAAATTTTGTTAATGCAGGGATGATTATACCAGGGAGTGAAAACAGAATTTTTTTTCTGGATAAAATTATATCTATTGCAGATATAACAAAACATCAAATCCAAAACTTTCGCAAATCAAATTAACAAAACTAAAGACGAGAATTCTTATCACGCGAGGGAAGCGAGCGCTTGAGAATGTTTAGAAAGAAAAGGTTATATCTATTACAGATAATAATTACAAAATTACACATTTGTTGTAGGTATTACGTAGAAAAATTATAGAGAACCTTGTAGAACCGGCGGATATCGTACCTCTGAAATACATCCCAAAGAAATTGCTGACTCGGCATCGGCGATATAAAAGACATTTTCGTAAGTAACTGACAATGTCCCGACAAAATGAGACAATGGTACAATATCTTGTACGATATTGCGTTTGATAATAATGCAGATAAACACACGGAGAACTCGAGGAAAACGTGATCTTCGCGACACGTCACTTTCTGCGTCACTTATATACAGCTGGACTTAAGGTGACTTATAGCGTTTTCGGCTCGATCGGGTTTGCACCAACCTGGGTTGGATTAATCTTTCTTATTGGTTGACGTCACCCGCTCTACCAATAGGATAGCACAAAACGCCATTAATTCAACCCAGGTTGGTGCAAACTTGGCCAGGCCGAAAACGCTATTAGGGACTTTGTTGGACTTGATTGGGCTGGACTAACCAATGTAGACTAATGCCATTGACTGAAGCTGTGTTCCAAAATTCACTGCGCTGAAAATCTATAATTTATGTTACGTGTATTATACATTTTCAGCACTGGTAGTGAATTTTGAAACACAGCCTGAATTTTATAGGTGTATTACAATTGCACTTTCCACACTTTAAATGAAATATATATATAGGCGGGTCACAGGTGGATAATATTGGAGAAAAACAAAAAATGTAAAAAATTTAAATATAAGAAATGTAGCCTGACAATAAAAAATACAATACTGACACATTTATTTTGAAATTATTTTTAGCTATGTTATTTTTTTATAAAGGAATATTCTAGGGAGTTACTATAAAATTTCTGACGAATTTTGCATGATATTTTGGATATTTTGATCTATGCAAGTTCAGCAATGCATATGTATAATTGTATAATTAAATAAAAATAGAAGGAAAAATTCTTTTATTTAAAACAATGTCTTAATTAACGAAACAAATAATAATTTATAAGAATGTCTGGCAGTCAGTGTTTGTGTTTTGATATCGAAATCTGGCATTTACAGAAACATGACTATTGTGCGCGACTATTATTTTTAAAACGTTTGAGTTACAAATGCATATGTCTGAAGACATAATTCGTCATAATTTAATTAATCCAAAAAAAATATGTTAGAGATTTTACAAGTAATTTTATAATGTTACATAGATGTTACCCTATTAATAAGGGTTATTATATATTAAGCCTAAAAAAAGAAATAGGTTGATCAGTATTCATTTCTTTCTTTGTCTAGTGTCGCATGTCAAATATATCAATCTATCTCTTTTTTTTTCATGCCCAGGCTTTAAATAATGTAATGAGCAGTATAGAGTTCACTAAAACTAAATGACGTTTAAGTGATCGATAATACTCTCATTCATTACTATATGTAAGTCCTTCCATTACTACTGCCATATAAAATTTTATATAGATACATTGTGTTCATATATAATTTCCATGATATTTCATTATAAAAATATTTTTATAAAAGAAATAGGAGACACAGTTCAGTCAAGATCTTTAGACAGACTTCATGCGTTAATATTAAGTCTAATTAATATTAAGTCCTAATTTTTAGGTTTATTTATCTTCCACGCCCCGATTCTGTATCTAAGCCAGATAAAGAATAGATCTCTGCCCATCTGCAACCAGCTCCAAAACGGTACGATCTTGGAGCCCTCGATCTCCGTCCAGTTTACTGCTATTTCGGTCACGGGAATGTTGAGAGTCTGTGCAATATAAAGCATTTCTACATCAAATGCCCAGCGTTCGACATGTAGCGCTTCGAATATTGTTCTCGCTGATTTTCTCGTTAAAAGCTTGAATCCACACTGCGTATCTCTGATGCCCCTAACGCACAACAGCCAGACTAAGAAATGAAAGCCGTGCATAAGAAAGAGTCGGAAGTAGGATCGTTTGGCTGTTTCTTCTTTTTCCAAATGAGCTCTCGAGCCACATATTACTGCATCGGACGATGCCGTTTTCTCGGGTTTGTTAATGTAATCAACTAAAACCAATTTGTTAAAATTAATAACATTATCATTATAATCAGTAGCTCTATTAGAACCATCAGAATTTTAATTCTTTTTTCAACTTACATCCTAAAACATTCATCAGACTCTCATCTAACTTCTTTAAATCGTTAAACTTGGTAGCACCATCTGCATCTGCGAACAGTAAAGCGCTGCCTCTTGCACTCAGCATACCCTTGAATAAATAAGTTAAAATATAATAATTATATTACAATCTATAAGATTGACTTATAGTCTACTTGATGCTACAAATGAAGCAATCTTTGATTGGTCAATTAATAAAATTCTCTCTTCTGACTGGTCAATTAAACGATTCAAAGCATTTGTTGCATCAAATAGACTGCATCCAAAGCTTCTCAATTCCATCAGAATTACTAACCAGTCTTACAGCTCCACCTTTCCCTCTATTTTTTATAAGATTTAATACTTTTAGAGTGCTGTATTTTGATGCATAACGATGCGCTACTTCAACAGTCTTATCTGTACTGCCATCACTGACTACTATCACTTCATAAGTCAATCCAGACTTCCTACGTTCTTCCAGATACTCCAGACATTCGTCCAACATGGGAGGTACTATTAAATAATAATAAGAATATACAAATAAATAATTAATATCTACAGATAATACATATGCAACAAATCTTACAAATAATCAAAGTTGGGCTCTTGAGATATTAAACAAATATTAAATTGAAAACACAGACAATTAAGAGCTTTAATACACGGTAATTAGTGCGATTACATTTTCAAACAACATATGTTTCACATCTTACATAATTATAACAAACCAAATGTTTTAGCTCAATTCGAGTCATCTTCAGCAGCCTTGATAATTCAAAATTCTTGATAAACTTATCAGATATCGATAAACGTATCTTAAGGCCATGGCACATAAAAAAAACTTAAGGCATAAGACTTAAGCAGTAAGCGAATCGACTAATCACAATAGAGACCGTAAGACCATACGTAAGCAATAGCGAATCCAACATGTTGATTTTGTTACTGCGTAAGTTTTATGTCTTGAGTTTTTCTATGTGCCAAGGCCTTTACATCTTTGTTCTTCATTGTAAGCAGGTACAATGACACTGAGTTGTACGCTCCAGGGGTCATGTAATGAAGGGAATGCCACCTTTATCTTCATCTGACTGTCGAAAAAGAATTTTTCTCCTTCATCCCTCGAGATTTTGGGATACCGTTCGCTTGTCACATATATTATTATGAAAAACTAAAACAGATACGTATATTTATGTAAATATATATTTATTTAGAAAGCATTGCATTATAAAAATAAATAATAAAAAAGATTGTATTTTGTATAATTGTATAAAATAAAGTTACAAAAAAAAATTATTCTTTTAATTATTACTTATGATATGTTAGGTATTAAAAATGATATAAGAGTAAGATAACCTTAACATACCACGATTGTTATGAGTACAGCCAACAATACTCCGTAACAAAATAGACATCCTAATGATAACATTTCAGTACAATAGCACACTTAACAATGTAAAAATGAAAAATAAAAGATATGTATCGTTAAACATATCTTTCTTTCCATTCCGGTAGTAAACGTCACCTAAAAGCAGGGTTGGGTTAGTTAGGTACAAATAAATACTTTACGTTTTAGGGCCTGAGCACAATAGAGGAACAGGAATTAGATATTAAGATTTCAACCTATCAGAAACTGATTACATCGGAATACGCGGTTTCTGATAGGTTGAAATCTTAATATCTAATTCTTGTTCCTCTATTGTGCGCAGGCCCTTATGCATAGAGTTCAAAGTCTATTCTACAACGTGCTATTTGTTTCCTGTTTCTTGCTTTTTACCTTTTGCTTTTTTCTTCTTTGCAACGACAATTCGTTAACTTTTATCTCAGGCGACATAAAATAAAAAACCAGATAAGAAGCAAAAAGACAAGATGTAAAAAATAGTAAAAAGTAAAAAACAGGAAACACAGTGCACATTGTAGACTAGGCTTTATGCGCAAAAAACTCGAGTATATATATATATATATATATATATATAT